TAAGTGGATAAACCCTCAAAGTTTTTGGACAAACTATGAACATTAACATGAAGGAAAGAAAGATAATTTCTAGTACTAAGAGAATTTATCAAAGTTTTAAAAGTACTTTCACAATAGTATTCAGAGGAGCCAAAATAATTCTGTTGTAGTTGGAGAATACTGTTTTGGTCTGGATCAGGAGAAATCATCATGCATATACAATGAGAGGAATTATTTAACCTTCACTGGTATGTGCTATCTGATGTTGTTGACGGGGTTTAACTATGAGTCGATCATAGCTAATAACAGCAAAGTTTCACCTCTCTTTGGCTTCCTTCCTGAACTTTGAAATGAACAACCTGGAACAACTGAAGTTAAACATTAATAGGCAGCATAAAACCTTATCAGTTGGATCATAAAGGTTGGATACAGTTTGTTTCATCATCTTTCTGAACCTTAACCAAGAGCTGAGAGTGCCAGAAGAGGACCATCAACCTGCTTTAGTTGCTGAAAGTGAATATTGTCTGAAAGCAAATGAAATATGATGTCATTGAATGTTTTGCGCATATGTACTGTAAGAACATTTTGAGACTTTGCACACACGTTAAAAATATTATATTGGCCATTAAGTTGCTCTCAAAACATAAGCTTTTTAAATTAGTAATATATAGGACTGGGCACGTTAACATGTTATTATCGCGTTAACGCTTTAAATAACGCAGACAATTATTTTTATCGCACTTTAACACCGTTTTTTAAATTATTATTTTGAAAGTCCGTTGCTCACTGGCTCTGAATACACATAGGCCTACAGTCAAAACATGGGTCACAGGAGGGGGGGGGGGGGATGTTGATCAGCCTGCAAATTACCCAGCGGAGGGAGGCTTCGGCAGGTTCTCTCAGGTGAACAGAAAGGGAGACGACAGGTGCTCTATGGATAGTAACCATGGCAACGGCTTCTGTGCGCTACACAGCTGTGGCCTTTTTAACTTAAATTGAAATTATAGGCTACAAAACTTTAACTTTGGTGTGTGTGGGTGTTTTGTTCGTTCCACACAACACATCACTTACTATGTAAGGGTGGTGATGGAGCAGTGGATAAGACACATGCCTTTGGTGTGAGATACCCGGGTTCGAATCCACTGTGACCCCTGAGCAAGACACTTAACCCCTAGTTGCTCCAGAGGTGTGTGCAATTGTAAGTCGCTTTGGATAAAAGCATCAGCTAATTGAATAAATGTAAATGTACCACCATCTGTACTGTTCTCAGATCAGTTGAACACACAAACATGATGGAAACTGTTCATTACCTTCTGATGGTGGAAATAATCTGCCTGAAGCCGATGAGTGAAGGTGAAATTAATCGGCAGCTTCAACCAGGAAACCAAGCAGAGAAAGAACAAACATGGAGCTCACAGCAGGAGCTTTTCAGAGATCTATTGATTCACATCCAGTCTCAACTCTCTGGATTCATCTTCAAACTGAAGAGTTCTTTAAGGAAATGCGATCACAGAGCAGCTCTGAACTTTGGAAGGAACAACAGGTCAAACATTAACAGACAGTATAAAACCTTGTTGGATCATAAAGGTCTGATGACAGTTTGATCCTTGCTGCCTTTTATTTCCCAACAAGGAAATATAAAGTGGCAAGGTTCCATTTATTACTGCAGTCTGTTGAATGTTGTTGTTGCTTTCTTCATTATTATTATTCATTATTATAACATCTGGGTCGTATACACACAGACAATGTGCTGGCTGCCTGTGTGTAAAGACAGTGTATGTTTAAGGAGGGAGTGTATAAGGACAGTGCTATACAATTTCTCATAGAGGAGAGTTGGATTGGAACATATCCAGGTTGATGTCACTCGTGCTGCAGTGTAGCCTCTGATAGTACAGTCCAATGCCTGACCTCTCACCACCACAGCTTCCTGTACCATCCTTTGTTTGCATTCCAGTATAAGGGAGAACCTCATGTAAAGATGAAGGCCGGTACAGAACACCATGCAGTGGTATGCACACAGCGGAGATGACAACCAAAGTCCCAGGGAAGGCAGAATGGACAACATGAGGTTGTTAAATGCTTAAACAAAAGGAGAGCATTTTACTTTCTCTGGCATTACACCAGCTCTTCATCATGAGACACCTTAAGACCTGCTGGACTCTGCTTCATCCAAACAGAAAACAGACAAGGATGGACAGACGATGGTTGGACTGCTAGGTCCCGCACCTTGTGGGTGAGAAATATTTCAGGCAGACTGAGGATGTTACTCTTTTATGTCTTGTTGGAATCTGATCCTCACCCTAAGTCCTTCTATCCTGCAATCCAAGACCTGGGTGTTTGCAAGTAGAAATTTTGGGCAGGGGTGGATGGTGATCTTGGGCCTGTTTCTAACACCTTTCCTCAATGTTTCTTTTCTCGCTGAGACGCGCTCCCATGGTTATTGTAGCTGCCATGGTGAGCGTGTCACAGGATCTCTGCCGATTTCATCGGATTAGAACACAAAAAAACGCAGTCAAATCCATAAACACATTAAAAATCAATTATCGGGAAAAATTTTAAAGTATCATGTGTTTAGTTTGGCATATGCTGAAAACATAACATCTCTTTATGCAATGTGTTGAGTGGCAGGGGTTGTTTCTTTGTGCTTTTTGGCTATTTAGTTTATTTTTTAAGTATACTGAATATAAAGAGATCAGCAGGTTTGAGACAAGTTTATAAAGATGTCTTATAAACTCTTGTCTTTGTTCACAATCTGAGACAACAAGACTGTGTGGTCTATATGAAGAATCTCTAGGAAACTGTAATGTATACATTAAAAATATATTCAAGAACTGTTTCCCTTAATCCTGTCATGGGTTTCCTGTGACCTTCCTCATTAAAGATGAGACTTTTGCACTGAAGAATAACTTTCCAGTTTCAGAAAAACATAAATTAATACAAATGAAAACAGCTCAGATCTACTAACTCACCTCTTCTGGAGCTTTTAAACAAATAACGCAAACACAGAAACTTTAAACAGCTAGGTTTCCGTGACAACTGAGCGAGACTGTGTGATACGGTCAAAAGCTGCAGAACAAGTGATTGGACCTTGTGCTGAGAATGTAAACACAGCTTCCTTCTGGTGCTGAGAAGATCTTTAATGTCACTCCTGCAGAATAAAACTTCAGATGAATAAAAGGTCATCATCACATTTAATGTTTATATACAGTTTATTGAATGTATAAAAGTGCAGTTTACATCAGCAACAATATTCCTAAACTGCTGAACAGAAACTATTAATAGGAAACAGACTTTCTCCAGTCACAATAAAGGTCCTCTTTCAGAATAAGACTCCTGACCTCCTGTGGCATGTTTTTAATTCATTAATTGACAGAGGAGGTCACATATGATTCAGATCCGCAGAACAATTACTGTATGTAAAAAACAAAATCCAGAACCGGACTTCCTGCAGGATCTTCAAAAAATATTTTTTTTGTCATAACTAACAAAAACCTAATCATACTGCAGATTCTCATGACGTTTACTTTAAAGAGCCAATGCTATCAGTGTCTTCTCTTCCTGTTGAGTTTGAACATTTCCGATCTTTAAAATGTGACTAGAATAAATATTGAGTGACTCAGACATCACGTTGGAAAACAGCAATTTTTATTAGCAGTTTCTAATAATTTATGTTACCAATACCTGACCTGGAAGTCTCTTCTGAGCATGCTCTATGGGCCCATAAAGATCATGTGGTGGTGATGGCGCAGTGGATAAGATGCCTGCCTTTGGTGTGAGAGACCCGGGTTCAATCCCCCACTATGACACGTCCATCATTGTGTCCCTGACACTTAACCCCTCGTTGCTCCAGAGGCGTGTGACCTCTGACATGTACAGCAGTTGTAAGTCGCTTTGGATAAAAGCGTCAGCTAAATGAATAAAAGTAAAACATGAAGAAGGCCGTGGAGACTTTTTTACTCTCCCAGTAAGCAAATTTCATAGGATTGAACGGACGCCATTTTTTGGACGCAGTATCCAGATCTCATTAGGTGCGTTTGACTTCATGCAGCGCTGCTCAGCACTGACTTAACGTGATGCATGCTGGACTTAAAATAAGGCATGGAGGTTAGAAATTGTGTCTGACCTTCGCCGACGCTGCAAAACGTCACCATGACACATGACATTGAAACCTCGCGGGAGCAAAGTGGCAGCAGGTGCAGAGTCCGGCGGCCGCAGTTGCTTTTCCCCGGCTGCACCAAGTTGGAACCACACTATTGCCCGACTGATCTCACGGCGTTTGCAATGATCGGTCATTGATCTCACCTCACAGTAAGCTGATGCAGGTAGAATGTGTCTGACTTGATGGTGCCGTTTTTATACCCCGCCCCTGCAGTCACCTGCAGCTCACTATCAAGTCAGCGAAAGTCAGCCGCCTTCATCTTGACACGTCCAGGCTCTGCCTGAAGAAGAGTCGTCGTTCCTTCAACACTGCAGGGGTGTCACTGAGTAGTTTGACTGTATATAGTATACTACTCACTGCAGTATTTAAATCAACAAATGTCAAAAATCGAGGATCTAAATGTTAATCGATAAGATAATGTTGATGAAAAGCAAAAGACAGAACTCAGTGCAGCTCAGACGGTCCGTCGTGCACAGAGGCATCATTTACACTGGGCTTTTTGAAAGCATTTGTTAAACTCGTTCTGAAACAAACAAATTAAAATGCTATAAGGGTTTTTTGCACAATAAGAAAACCTGCAGTTTAAATATAGAAGAAACAGAAATGCCTTGTCCAAAACAAGTAACTTATATCTTGTCTTGTTCTCGTGACCCCAATATTGTGCATAGTCACGTTTTGTGGGCTAAATGTTTTGTCACACCCCTAATCTGAGCCCTTAAGTTTTCACCGCTGCTGAATGAATGAGCTCTGTAACACTCAACACATGGCGAGCTTCCTCTCCTCATTCATCAAAAGACATCGATGCAAGGGAGTCACTGTGTTGAAAAGTGTTGGAGACAGAAGGAAAAACTCGTTACAAATTAAAGCAGGTCATGAAAAATGTTCATATTGGTTCATCAAAAGGGCAAAGCAGACGCCTACAGAGCTGACAGTGTCGACCACACAGTCATCCATCACATCCACACCTGAAACATTTCAGTGAAACAAAGTGTATAGAAAGCACCAGAGTATGTCAGTCAGCCCAGCTGTAACAGGCCTCTGCCCTGGTGCAGATACTTGGCAACATTTTCAACAAATGATGGTTTTAAAAAAACTGATGGGGAAAAAAAAAAATCAGCTACTTCAGAAAGTGGTGTTAACATGTTCCCAGGATCCCCAGTGTCACTGACACCTATTCATCTACCTGACAGGTGGGCAACAAACAGAGCGAGCGAGAAAGTTATCAGCCTGACAGTAAACGTACAGAGTAGGTCACAGTGAGTCCGTTAATAAAAGTCTGTTGTTTCCCTGCTGGAAAGTGAAGGCGGTTACTCACCCTGTCAATGCACCCTCGTCTGTTTTGGGGAACTCGCTGGACTGCAGAGACACAAAGAAGAGAGAGAGGTCAAAAGGTCAGATCCTCCTGTGATGATGCGGTTATATATAAACAGAAAATATTCCCTCCCCCAGCCGCTCCCTCCCTGGGTGAATGAGGAGCGTAGACCTGGTCTGGATGGAGACTGATCTTTACTTCACATGTTACAGTGTCTCTGAAGACAACGGGACATCGACCAGAAACCAAACGGACGCAGGCTGTTTTTTCTGAACATTTTAGACACAAAAAGCAGAAGCGCTGCTGACGGACTCTCAGATTACTGAGGTGGACTTCAGCTCCCTGCTACACGTCTTTAAGAACACGATATCTGGACCTGGACCTGAGATGATGTGTGATCCAATTTGAAACAGACTAATTGAGTTCTCGAACGCGACTCCAGGATTGATTTCTTTGTTTCTGTGCAATACGTGTCTTAAATGAGCAGGCTTATAAACCTGATCCGTCTCTCAGAACTGAGTCCACTGCTTCACTGTAGCGGAGCAGCAGCTCACACTGGAAGAGTTTAAAGGGTTAATTATCAAAGAAAGCGTCCAACATGACAGAACGAGGCTGCATCTGATCATTTAATGTTAGTCTTTATTTTGGCATCTAACAGGACACAACTGTCCCACAGCCTGGCGTCTCCTGGTCTCCACCTGCTGTTCGTTCTTATTATGATCATCTTGACAGTGACAGTTTATTGTGAAAACCAGCCCACAGGAAGAGGCGGAGCTCCTGCAGCTGTAGGACATGTGGTGAAGCTGCTGGCAGATTGGGGAACTGCAAGTTCTTAAGTGATAATTTGAATCATTGGATTTAATTTGTCTGTTTATGAAGTTCAATCTGAATGATAATCCAGTCTCTCAAACAAACCTCAATAAACCTTTTTATTTTATTTCTCTTCTGTTGCAGGTTGAACTCAGTAAAGTGACAATAAATATGAACACATGTCCACATGTGCAGAACACGGGCCCCAGTCTGTCCCTCTGACAGGACGAGTAACTTTCTCAAGAAACGATGGGCTGAAAGGAGTTCGTGTGCAGAGGATCAGGATGATCCAGGTTTAAGTTAAAGCTGCTGTGAAGAACCAGAAAGTCTTGATAGCGTTTCAGTTTATTCACAATACCACTTCAAACATTACAAAAATACAATAAAGGGTACAGAATTGGGGATAATGAATGGGTCTCCCAAAGAAGCTAAAGAAAGCTTATAGATGGGGGCTCATCAATAATCAGCAACCTCATAATCTGGAAAACGAAAGCTGAGAAAACGTTCACACACGGAGTAATGTATAGTATATATAGTTTAACAAGTACACAATTATTCACTAGTGATCAGTTAGTTGATCGCTCAGTTACCTTAAATCAATCAGTTAATCTCATATCGAAGGAGTAAATCCTCCGTGACAGGGACTTGGAGTTAAACAGACAGTTCCTGTGATTACAGTGAAATTTATTAACCAACTAAAAGGTGGATATAAATGCAGTTAAATATACATCAAAGGAATAAACAATGGCTAAACAAACATGAGGCAAACAATGAGTGTATTTTGGAGTTAAATGTAAATTGTGTTCTCTTGTGGGGAGAATTTGATTCATAGGGAGAAAGAACTAATGAACGCAGATTAGATGATACTAACTTGGTTAAAGTTGTTTAGGAGTTTAGGCTGGAATGATGAAGGATTAAAGATAGTGGATTAACAGACTATTGGACATCAACTCAACCACGATCAACAAAGAGCTCGGCTGTTTTTTTTGTCTGGCCCCTGGGGGCGTGGCCCCTGGGGGCTGGCTTTGTTCCCCTGAGGGCTTGTTTACGGTTTCCTGAGTCTTTTAACTTAATATGTCTATTCTAAAATCTATTTGCGCATATTATAATCAAATATCTTCCCACAATCAAACCTTTAATGTGAAACGTTTATACCGTTCTTGGTTTTAAGCATTTGATAAGGAAACTATTAAGTTATTGTCAGTAGTTAAACCTTAGAAGGTTAGCATTTCATAGGAATCACATCAGATGAGGGGAACTTAAAGCTTCCTGGATAAAATTGGCTGTTACACATTCTTACTTGGAGAAAATAAGCAAGTTACACGAACATGGCGTCAGATTACGAACGGATAAATACAGATTGACAATTACTACATCAGAAACTGCATTTCAGAACGATGGCAGGTAATACTTATTTTGTCCTCTTGGGGGAACTCTGGTTCCATGAGGAGACTGAAGATACCAAATGATTATTTCTTTAAACAATCATTTGCTCAGGAGCTGGGAAATTTATTATTTAACACAGGATAACATTTCGGTTATATATCATTTCTAAATATAAGAAGTCAGAAGGAGCTGGAAATAAAGCATTAGTTGAAAACATCACTTAAAAGAACGTCAGGGATCGTTGCTGAAGAAGTTAATTTCTGGTTAGTGTTGGCATGTGTCCTTTTAACAGTCAGGCACCGAGTCCTATCTCGGCTGCCCAAAAAGCACTTAGGGAAAGCAAACCTTTCACCCCCTCCTTTGGGGTCTCTTCAGCTGTCTGTTGAGGGTTGATATCCCCCCCCCCCCCTTTCTCTCAGGGAGAGACAAAGAATTTGGGATCTCCAAATTTTTGATATAAAATGAACAAATCCACACTGGCTGACCACAACAAGGACGTAAAGCATAAAGAAGCTTTATGGGACCTCTGTGTGGAGCCGCTCTGCTGTGGTCTGTTTGTCTAAAGCTTTAAACACAGAAACTAATGTTAGTAATGATGATAAATTAATGCCATTCTGATTTGTGTGCGCATGTCTGCCTGTGTGCGCACGTGAGCCACACCTGCACAAGTCAGTTCCCCACCTGGACCACCCAAGCCAAACTTGTCTGGATATGAACTGGTCTGAAGGGATCTGGATTCAGAAGCAGCCTTATTCACAAATATAAGAAAGATTTCACAGATCAGCCTTAATTCAGTTTCTTTGATAAACTTCTCAGCTGTTTGGGGTCCAGTTATCTAATCGATACATTATCAATTTATCTTCTAACCAACATGAACACAACTCATAAACACAGAGCTGATCATCAATACCTGATCAATAACCTGTTTGTCTCCTACCTGGCAGGTGTGGCTGCTGGTCCCGGAGCTCTCTCCGCTCTGTGGCCGCTGCTGGATCCGGTCCCGGTGGAGCGGCTCTCCGCGGTCCCCCGCCGGGCTGGAGGCGTCCAGCTCGGTCTGCAGGTCCAGGATGTAGTCAATGACGTGCTGCAGGATCTCCACCCGGCTGGTGGCCCGTCCGGGCGGCAGACCGGGAACCAGCTGCCGCAGCAGCCGGTAACACAGATTCATGTCCTGCAGCAGGAGCTCCGGAACACGCGGCTCGTCCTCCTCCGCCGCCGCCGGGCTCTTGTTCCGGTAGGAGCCCCGCAGAGAGCAGCGCAGGCTCCGGGGGCTCCGGCGGCTCCGGCTCAGGGCGCCGCCGCTGCTCCTCCTCCTCCTCCTCCTCCTCCTGCCCGCAGACGGCACCGGGCTGCCGGGTCTCATGTCTCCTGGCGGTCGCTGCAGCTTCACATGAGAACAAACAGCATCACTGAGACACGGAGAGAGGAGCCTCACTGAGCTGCGGGAGGAGCGCCGGGCTGCTTATAGAGCCGCTGCAGGCTGAGCTGCACGCTCATTGGCTCTCAGCGGAGTCAGTCAACTTCTCAAGCCAGCTGATTGGTCCCTGAGCGAGCAGCGAGTCCAGCAGCTCACCTGTCACCTGCCTGCTGTTCAGGAGCAAAGAAGTCCTGCAGGCAGAAATGTTCTTTAACAGTACAGAAATTATTAAAATACATAAAATACTCATTGTGTAACATAATATATTTACTGTTTGTAATTATTTATGAGCTCATTTTAATTACTTTATTCGCTGCAGCGTAGTTTAATCTGTAATAATATATCTTAATGTATTAGTTTATTACATTTTGTGTTTTTAAAGTAACTGAAGTTATCAGATAAATGTAGAGAAGTAAAAAGTCCCTGACTGTAGGACTCACCTTCAACCTGGTTTACATCATCAGAAATATCTCAGGTTTGTTAAATATAAAATATATAAAACACATCTGTGGTTGGAATATTTATTATTAAATATATAATCTGTTAAAACTCACCCAGCTGCTGTACTTTAAGGCTGACATGTTGCTGCATCATCTCGTCTTCAGTTCAGTGTTGTTATATATTCAGCTGTTATTTAATAACAACCAACATTACTAAAGACCTCTAAATGTAAAAGTGAAGCATCTAATGATGCTGCAGAGAGAAGATTTAAGGAGACGAGTGTTGACTCAGCCTTCAACTGTTATTTCATTAACTCAAATAACAATAGTCTAAAGATTCCACATGTGTTGAATGTGATCCTGCTCTGATGTCCAAACACAGTAACATCTCACTGTGAAACAGCTGGAGGAATTGTAGCTTTAAATTCTAACTTGTTGCTTCTTTGGGAAAAAAAGCACAATTATATCCCATCATATCTTTTAAATTTCAATTCAAATGACATAAGTACCTGTTTTAAAGAGCTCTCAGCTGTTCTCCATGTAAATCATCAGCTCGTCTGAAGAGCTGATTTAATTGCTGATTTTGGTATAAATGAGGATTAAAGAGAAAGTGGAGCCAGCATCAGTTTGGAAGATCAGACCTCCTGACCCGGATCTGTCTAAACAACAACAACAACAGCAGCTGGCCAACAGATCCTCCACAGAGTGTTTCTGACGAGCTGAGATGAATCAGCCTCTCACCATCCAATCAGACTTCTACGCTCCATCCTGTGACAATATGCTCAAAATAACAAACTTTATATTTTATTTTCAAATTAAAGTAACTCAGTGCTTTATGTCAGAACATCAATATTTAAACCTTATAGATAACAACGTGACACTCAGAAAATCAGCCAACAGAAAGAAAATCAGACAAAATGTGATAAAACATGTGAACAGAGCGACTGAAACACCAGCAGCAACTGTTTGGCCTCATTAATACAGTTTAGATAAATAAACCTTTACATTCAGGGAGCAGCAGTGAAATGACCTCCTGCATCTTCTCTGTGAACCTATGAGCAGTAAACTGTCCTGTTCCAGACCAGATCAACCACGTCCAGAACCCTGCTTCTGGTTTAGGCACTGTGTTGTTGTTATCAGAGGGAAGCCGGTCCACATCCTGTCTGCAGGACTCGTCTCACCACTGAGAACAGAACTCTGTCCACGCACTGCTGCAGGACTGGACCATCACAGACATGAGAGGGTTTTTAAGTTTCTCACTGAACCAGCTTTTATTCCTCTGCTGCCGTTTGTCTTCTTTATCTGACAGCAGAAATGGAAAAACAGACTAAATATTAAAGAAGAAGGTTTCCCTTCTGGCTGAGGAGACGCAGCAGGTGAAAGCAGACATGATGAAGAGGTGAAGCTGCCTTCAGACCGTGATGTGTTTCTTATCAGAAAGACGGTGTCACCAGATACAGGAGGAGGATTTCACAAGGTACTCATTTGTCTTGATTAGTTGTCTTGAAACATGTTCTGTAGGATGCTGGAGAAATTGTATATCTCATCTGACCTGATCCTCCAGGAGAAGCATGAAAACGCTGCTGAGGACACAGACGTCTGGACCACCTTGTTTAAATATGGATCTGCAGCAGAAAATAGTTGGAGATATTATCTTTCATATTATATTGTTAGATGGTATTATGAGTAGTAATTGCTTAAGTACAAATACTAAATGTGAGGGTTGATATTTTTAATCTAAAGCTTGTGCTTTCATTCATCAACTGACCAAAGAATCTTAATTCAAAGTCTACTTAATAGCTTTTTCCTGAGCTTTCAGTCATGCTATTTCCAAGCGCAAGAATGAAAACTCAGATTCAATTTTAAACAAACATGGATGAATAAGAAGTGGGAAACTGTGCAAACTCCTTCTACTGCTGAAGACAGTGACTTGGTTGAAAGTTGCACAAAAACACATCAAGCTTCAGTTCATTTAACCTTCAGTTAATGTTATTTTTTATCTTAAAGCTTGTGTTTGTGGAATTATAAAAAGAAAACGATTCTACCACTATGTAGAGCTCACAGAGCCCCAGGGGTGCAGTAAAAACACAAATCATTTAATGTCATTTAAAAAGGCTATTATTATTATTTACTAATCACTTTTATGTAATGTTTCACTTCTGAGATTTGAATTTTAACTTGAGACAATCTGATGTTCCTGCATGTTTCTAAGAGCTGATTTAATAAAAGTCCTGCTCTCTTTGTTGGTTTTCAGCTCGTGCTGCAGAAAGCTGCCTCTGCATCTGCTTCACTCTCGTTATCTGGATTCTGGAGGTCTCGGAGGGAGCTGAACCCCGACAGTGTTCGGTGTTCGGCTTTGCTTCAGCAGTTTCTCTGCAGGAAGAAGAAGCAGGAACAGTAAAGAGAAAAACTTTAAACTACTTTATAAAGGTGAAAACATCAACATTTTGTTTTGAGCCCTTAATGAGACAGTGTGAGCATGTGACTGAATATGATTGTGTATATTTAACAGAACAGCAGAGTCAGTAAGCTCAGCAGCAGATGTTCGTCGCTTTGTTTCCTCACATTTTGTTTCTTTGTTTCATCACAGTCGGTTTCCTTTGCAACCAATTAACATAAGCAGAAAACAAACACCTGTGGAGGAATGTGGTTAACCTGCCTGCTGACGCCGTCCTGCATTTGTATATATTCCCACCTGACCTTATCTCCTCTGACCTGAGCCTCAGACAGCTGCAGCACAACTCAGCGTCCAAGGGGGAACTTCTTATAATGTCATCTCTCAAACATCTCTTTCATTACAAACACAATCAGGAACAGAGCGGCCTGCTGCAAAGGTCCAGACCTGGAGCAGATACAGACCTTCAGTTGAGCTTGTTTTACAAACCACTCAGAGTTAATGCTGGACTGTGTGTCTCCGCTCTCTGATCCACACTTTTAACACATTTAGATTACACAAAAGTCATAGTTTAAAATCAGAATGATCTCATAGCAAACAAAACACTAACAGGACTCAGGACTGTGTTTTCTACATCCTGCATCAGGTTTAAAGATTGATCTCCTTCCTTACAGACGATCCCACTCAGAGTTTAGTCCACCTAAACAGCCTGAGGCCGTGTGGCTGAGCATAGTTTAAGCAAGCAGGAATGTGTGCAGACAGAAAGCTGCAGCTAAATCAGTTTAATGTGTCAGTAATAAGCAGGTGAGCTGAGCGAGAGTCTAGACACCTTAATGTGGTGCGTTCAGGTTCGACTGTGTAATTACAGCTTTGTTTATATTGATCTGAGCCATTAAAGTCACCTCTGTGAAACAGCAGATCAGAGCTTAGAGCTTAGCTTAGCATAAAGACTGGGAACAGCTAGCCTGGCTCTCACACCTGCACATGGTCTGATTCAGCTGGACAAAAACAGGAATGTGAATGAAATGTATGATGACTGATATCAAAATACTTCCACAACAGAGTCCAGTAAGTAGGTAATGTAAGTCTTAAAGACACAGTGTGCAGGAGTTAGTGACATCTAAAAGTGATTTTAAATATCTCTCACCTCACCCTCCCAACCGACCGCGCAGGAGGACCTATGGTGTAAAACTCATGAAAAATGAGAAAGGTCGGTGTTTGGTTTGTCTGCTCTGGGCTCCTGTAGAAACCTGGTGATGTAGCATGGCGGGCTCTGTGGAAGTGGACCCGCTCCCTCTTCTAAGTCAGGGGACTCCAAACATTTTTGATTGTGGGCAGAAAAATATTTAATTTTTGTAATTCACTTGGGGCTTTCATTATTCGGACGTGGGCGTGGTTTCATCTAGTTTGTTGGAAAAACGATAGACGCAACCAGGCTGCCCTTACCTGACCCTGCAGCCTGTGAGCAGCTGGTCTCCTGCAGGTCTCATTCAGTCGGGCCTGGATAGAGTTCCTGGACCTAAACATGAGTATTTCAGATGTTTGGAGAACAAAAGCTTTAAAACAAAGTCAGTGGGCACAAAAGATCTGAAAATTAATGTTAATGTTTAATAAAGTGTTCAGCTTCACTACAGACCTGATTTACCATCTGTCCTCTCTTAACTTTAGTGGCATGAATGTGTAACAACAATATTGCCAAAGCATCATACAAACTACATAAGAACAATCAACCACATACATTTCATTAAACAAGTAATTAATGTGTATGTGTGTTTGTGTTAAAAAAATTTAAAAATATAAAAAATTAAAATAAATAAACAGTAAACGTGTGTGTGTGTGTATATTAATAGACAAAAAATAAAATAATTAATTGATTAAAAAATAATAATAATTTTTAAAAAAGGAAAGAAGTCAGTATCAAATGTAAAAACAAAAGAAAATTACTAAAATATCAAGCAATCAAATAATAATTTGAAAATCTGTACAATTATTTATGAGTCTGAGGTTCCACTGGTTGTCCTCACTTCATGAGAAGACATATTTTGCAGCAATTATTTGACATTTGGGCATTTATCCCAGTATATAGGGGAGTTTCTGTGTGTCTGATATGAATTCAAATTCAGGGTATATTTAGGAAATGTTTGCAAAGTTTGTCTTTTATATTTGGGGCATGAGATTAGAAAGTACAGCTCTGTCTCTACCTGGCCCCTGTCACACTGGGAGCAGAGTCTCTCCTCTTGTGGTAGCCAGCTCTGTCTGTGGCGACCCTTTTCTATGGCCAGGCTGTGTTCACTCAGTCTGTATGTTGTCAACATTTGTCTTGGTTTAGGACATGTTATTGTGCTCAGGTAATTTGCCAGTGGGATTTCTCTTTTTTGGGTCAGATAACATTGGAATTTACTTTGTGTTTTGATAATTTCTTTCCAGTATTCAATATATTTTTCTTTCTGTGTGGGAGAAGAATGCTGTTTGTTTGTTTCCAATCTTCATGGCACATTCACTTTTTGTATACATGTTCTTAATCAAATCATATGTTTTTCCTCCAATGCCAATTTCAAGTAGCCTATAGAAAAGGCCATCGTGCCAGATGGAATCAAAGGCTTTTTGGAAGTCAACAAAACAG